GGCCCGAGCTTGCCGAGCGCGGAGGCAGCGGGAGTACGAGAAGGAAACATGCAGCGTTACCTGCCAGCAACTCTGTCCTGCTGACAACAAAGGTGCGAGACAGGGACAGGGGGGCTGAAACGGGAGAAAAACAGGGTGAGACAGGCCGGGCTGTCGCCAGAGGCAAGAGGGCCGTGGCATGCCCTCTCCGCGCGGAGACACGGAGGCCGGGTGGCCTGAGGGACACAGGAGGCCGGGGCCGGGAGGGGCCTACGCCCGGGCTTCCCCCGACCCAGGGCCTGCTCGGCCCCGCGCCCCCGGGTTGCGCCCTCAGTGGCCCCTCCGAGACTTAACCCACTGCTAGCCACGCGTAGCGGCACATGGTCAGCCCAGGGCCCAAGCGCAGGGCCAGCACGCACTCAGCCCCCTGCCCTTGCGCCTGTCTGTGGCAGCGTCTCGTTACAGCCTTTCTCCTGCTGAGCCAGGTCCCTGTCTCCGGGCTGGAGGGCAGTGGTGTGATCACAACTCACCACAGCCTCAACTTCTGGGCTTAGGCGATCCTCCCGCCTCCGCCTCCCAAGTTGCTGGGACTAAGGTGCCACCAAGCCTAGTTAATTTTTGGTTTGGGGTGGAGACGAGGTCTCGCTGTGTTGCCCAGACGGGTCTTAAATCTGGGCTCATGCGATCCTCCCACCTCGGCCTCCCAAAGTGCTGGGACGACAGGCGTGAGTCACCACGCCCAGCCTCGTTATAATCTCGGCCTGGCGCTTGAAATCGCCTGGAGCACACTCAGGTTTCAGAGGCCAGGAGCGCGAGTAAAGCACGGGCACGCGGCCTTCCCAGGGGTGGCAGGCCCAAGTCCGCCATCACCGCGCCTGGCTCCCTCTGGCTGGCACACTGACCGCACACGCCGGCAGGAGGTGCTCTTGGCAGGTCTGGGTGCCGTTGGCAGAGGCACCTCTCGTCAAGATCTCGAGGGGACCAGGGAGGGGAGCCAGGCCTGGGAAGAGACAGGACACCACAGGGAGCCCATTCTGGCCACGGCGAGTGGACTCGGCTCCAGTCCGACTCTTTGCAGCTGCTGCCACGGCGGTCCCTGCCTGGCGCTTCGAGAGGAACTGGCCTCCGTGCCCGGTGTCGAGAACCAGGAGTCCCTGAAGCGCACGCCTCCTCCCTGACCTCTCTTCTAGGCGCCTGCGAGCCTGGCTCCGCTCAGCCGGGCCACCAGAGGCTGGCGCCGAGAGCCGCAGCCCCTGCGCCTTCCTGCCACCCCGTCTCCTCTCATGCCTCAGGGGACAGGGCCCTCGGTGGTGCCACCACGGCCTCTTCTACACACACAAGGCACGTCGCCATATCCTCGTGCGCCAGGAGACCGAGGGCCTTCTCATGCCTGGGTGGGAGCGGCCCTCTCTTGCCGGCAGTAAAGCCAGGGTCACCTTCAGGGTCACAGCAGAAAGCCAGCGAGGCAGGGTCACGCAGGCCATGTCCACCCTGGCTGCCAGTCAGCAGAGGACACTGGGGACGCCAGGCCCTCAGGACCCAGGAACCTGCACCACGACAGGAAGCGGAGGTGCCTGGCGGGGGCAGTTTAGAGTCGGCTGCGCTTCACACCTCGCTGGGTGCCCGGCTACCGTGCTGGCTCCCGCCAAGAGGCCGCCACCGCATGTGCCTGTGCACAGCGGCCCCTGTGGAGAAGACTGTCTGCAAACGCACTGGGGCTGCCGAAGAGGGAGTGGCATGGGCACACTGCCACCGCGGGTGCCACGTCCACTGCTGGGGCCAGGGTGCGGAGGGCCAACCCTCACCTTCACGCAGCCAACTTAAGTCTTCGCGTGCACCCACGACTCTCAAGTTGAGAAAGTTTAAGCCAGGTTCGGCGGCTCAGCCTGTCATCCCGCGCCTTGGGAGTCTGAGGTGAGCAGATGGCCTGAGCCCGCGGGTTCGAGACTCGCCTGGGCAGCGAGACCTCATCTCTACAATA